TTTTTATATAGAGTTACTTAATTTCACGAGATAATTCAATATTAATAGTTTAAATTGTTATATTAAAAGTTTTAAATTTAAATTTTAAATTAAATGAAGAAGAGTTTATAAATGAAAACTATTATCCTGTTGTATATGGCGTAATCATCATCATCATCATGCTTAAAAAAAAATATTGATTTACTTGCAAGCTTTCAAGCCAACTCATCAACTCTCTTTTATTAGTTCAGATAAAAAAAATAAACATAAGAAAGATCAGCACATATATTAAATTTTAAAAAAAAAACAATAATAATAAACGGATGCATTGTTTACATGTGATTGAGCTGGAATTTTCCGACAGATCACAACTCCCTGTTAAAATGAGCTGAACTACTTAACTCTTTTCTAAATTTCATCTTCCACGCGCACGTGATAACTCAACTCGAAACATAATATTATATATACAGTACAGGACTGGATCCTGTTGTCATTGTTCCATGCACTACTTGCGTTGTACTTTGGTTTCTCTACCATTTACACCAACGTTCGATAGAAACGAGGATCAAATTATTCCCCAACAACCTGCACCCTGCCTCTTTGTTCATTTCCATTATTTTTAATACCTTATTCAACATTAGTAGGATGTATGTTTCGCCTGGTTAACCAAACAAAAATGGAGACACAAAGATCAATGTGTTAGCATTGTTTTTAAATTTAGTTGAACCATTTGCTACCAAACGTTATTGTTAGTTCGATTTTCGTTGATACATATCTTACTCTCGTTGTTTTTTTTTTTTTTTCTTCTTTCCATAATATCTTACCCTTTTTCTTAACTAACTTCCTTCTTAGGTTAATTACTTGGTTGTTGAATATGTCAATGATTGCACCAATTAGAGATAGTATTTACTGAGTTTTTATAATACATAGATTTTATAAGATAAGTTAATTAACGAAAATCTTACATTTACTTAAATTACAATTAAATACTTAGTCAATTCTTATTAATAAAAACTCATGTCTTAATTAGATAATCAATTTTAATTAATGCAAAATTTGTGTCTTAATTCTTATCAATAGAAAACTCGTGAGTCAATAACTTGTTAGTTCGAGTGAAAAGAATTTAATTTTTCTTAAATAAAATTTTGCATTCGACTTTTATAAATAGAGAAATAAACGTTAAGAGAATTTTTTTCACATAAAATTTAATGCAATTTAATTTTAAATTAATTAAAATTTAATATAATTATAAAATATCAAAAGATTAATATCCAAATAAAAAACTCGTGGCTTATGCTAGATGTTCACCAAGTGCATATAACTACCTATTATCATCACCACCACCTGCTGAGCCTAAAGAAACGGCGAGTCAACAGAAGCTAGCAATTGAAGGTTAGACCCATTCCTAATTCGCCACCGTGTACCAGAAATTCAAGTTCAACAATTGTGAAACTCGTTCGCGTTGCCTGGTATTTAAAAAATTATATATAATAATAATAACAATAATAATAACCAACTTGTTCACTTTAACCTCCAGGGGTGCGTACCACGTGTCAATTCGGTTGGCCCCAAACCACTTTCATTTAAGACACTTCATTTGCGTGGGGCCTACCATCAGTCTCGAGTGTCGACCCCCGCCACGAACCCTTCGTCCCTTATCCGTTGTCCCTCCGAACCCGACGTACGTTATCTTGGCCCTGACTACGCCACGTAACTCCGTCACCGTCAACGTTAGCGGAGATTCCCCCTCTTTGATGTTTGATCATCACTTTTCGGACTTATTTTCTCC